TTTTGCTCGATTCGCGAATTTTTATTACAGAAAATATGTCGAATAATTTGTATAGTAGTTAAAGTTTATCGTAATTATAACGATTATACACGGAAAGAATAGGTTTTGTATGCAAATATTTAAAAATTTGATCGACAAAAAACTGGAAATAAATAACTTTGTTAGGAAAATTAATTATTTTGGATATTCAAATTGGTTGCAAAAATATTAAAAATTTTTGCTGTATTTTATTATTAAGTCTTACATAATAATTTTGATGGCTCCATAAATTTATTTTCAGATCTATATCTAATCAAATTTTTAAACAAAAAGTTTCATCAAAATCATCCTTTCCATATAGATAGCTTATCGATATTCGCTTACGTCACGGGTTTCTTGATAAATATTGTTAGGATTTTCTTGCAGATTATCGCAACATTGAACGCGAATAATATTGAAAAAAATTCGAATAAAGATTATTCGAGTTGATTGAACAACAGCGCAATAAAAAGGTATCTCTTTATCTTTCTTATTACAGCAAATGAGTTGGAGTCGACAACTTGTTGCGCTGTCGCTTTTCATTTGTCGTGCAATCCTTTCTTATCCTCTTGATATTCGAGCATTTTCGATTTATATCGACGAAAAACCGATTACCGAGTGATTTTTTCACTTGGCGGAAAAGATAGTCGCGGGAACTTCCCGGCGTTTCACGTCTTCTGGATAAAAAGACTTGATTGTCCTTTGTTTTTTCCACGAGTAGTTCGTCCCGCCGGGAGAGAAAAAGAGAGAAAATCTAGAAAAGTTCTTAAAGACCAGCGCTATTTCTTCGAGAGGGATCACTAACCCTGACCTGTCTCTTCCTCTCTTCCCGAGACGGCTCAAGCAACTTTGAAATTTTTCGTCGCGTCGTCTTCCACGAAGTTACAAGGCTTACATGTATATCCTTCGTTCCTACTCTCCGCTTATCCACCATCCTTCAACTTTATCCCGTCTTTTATTTTTACGCCATTCGTCTCTTCCCGTGAGAGGAGATACGTCGGAGGAATTTCAAATGAATAGACGAATTAAAAGAGAGAAAAGGACAAATCAATTTCGCGAGATTACAAACTCTCGGGGGATCAGCTTCTCGATGTCAGCCGGACGTCTCTAACTGTCAACGGACATTTATTAAATTTGTACCTCTTTCATTAGGAATCTAATGCTTAACATCTTAGTCAGATCGTATTTAGCTTAGTCTGAGGATAGGCAAGGAGCTAATGACCGTCGAGATAATCGCGAGATAAGTTCCCGACATGGACGCGTTTTTCATTTCGCAGATAAGCGGGTACCTCAGCGGGTGAGCTGGCCGTCTTTACGAGGGGCGAGCGTCCGCGATGAAGAGCGGAAAATGAGTAGGACCGGAAGGCGAGGCGGCACAGGGAGGAGGACGTGAAGCGAGGGACGAGGGAGGTCGCGCCGCGTTTTGATACGCCGCGGCGAAGATGAGATCGGAAACTGCGTTGTACCTGCTCTCGCTGCTGATCCTATCGCTCAATGATCCTTCGTGGGCTTCCCCGACGGAAATCAGAGGTTCGTCGACGCTAATTTAGCGCTCGCAAATTAGCGCTGCAAAACGAGAACATTGTTATCGGCTTATTATACAAAGTAAGGCGCAGATGCGGCTTTCTTAGGTGCTTTCTTAACTAATTTTTTTTTTTTTTTTTTTTTTAACTAATATTATATCGTAATATTTCCTTCTTGAATAATTCTTAATACGACGTTATTCGTGTCGAGATGCGAATCTGTTCGAAGGCTGGTGACTCGCGAATAATCCGATTGAGGAGAAACTGCAATTCCGGTAGAAGCTCCGACGAGAACGAAATTGCGTAGCTTAATGAAGTACGAGGGTGGGCGAAACTCCATCGAGAAAGAACGTTGATCACCTTTGTAATGGAATAACATTCTCCCGGATCGAGAGGGCGACAACATATTTAACGCCACCGTTAAAATTGCCGATGAGTGCGTTCGTGCGAGCGAGAAAATTAAATGTGTCTCTCTCTCGTCGACGGGACGAGGTGTATAAAAGCTGCGATTAGCACAGAAACAATTTCTGTGTAATTCGCGGCTGTATTTCCTCTTTCTCTAGCGACGATGGAACAAGGATTGCATGTATCGAGACGTGATCTTACACGCTTTCGCCCCTATTCGATGCGCCAAAGGAGTCGCGCTAGTTGATGACTATTCATGTCTCTTGTAAACGAGAAAATCGTTACGCGGAGGAGCAACCGCCCGGGGATACTTGATGTAATTAATCGTATGCATTGTCACGCGTTTGTGATATGGAGAACCCTACGGCGGTTGTACGCCATCGGCATCAATGGAAGGCGCTAAATATATATTTCTTGAGAAGCGAAACGGGGTAAGGCGGTTACATTTTTCACGTCGCGCGAGGAACGCGGGGGGAGGAGAGAGGAATAAAAATTAATCGCATGTAGGAAAACGGAAGTGATACATGCCCCGTCGCCCGCTGGTTATTTATTATCCGCGTTTGTTTTTTTTAACCGTTTGTAATATTATATATATATATATATATCGCTTTCGCAGTATTTGAGATTAAACCTCCGGTTACCGCGGTTTAATTAAATATTTGCTACGGTTTGTCAAAGGGGGTGTTCATGAATATTGTTAAACTACGTCGATTGATCGTCGCGCCGTCGCGCAGATCGTTTCACGCGAGTACACGCACGCGAGTGCACGCATGATATAATTAAGATGACAAATATAGCCGAGTCGAGGAGCAGAGGAGGAACACGGGACGAAACACGATATCGGCAAAGCGGCGCCTGAGTCGTGCGAGAGATTGCTTACATCAATGGCAATTAATTAGCCGGTAAACTCTGAGTAATTTCATTAGTCCACTGCAGGGGCGAAGGGCCGTTAAACAAATACGGTCGGGATGTTTTCATCGGCGAAATTTACCGGCGGCATTTCGATGTATAACTCGTTTCTCGTCCATTCCCGCGAAATAATTCGCCGGGCGAGATCGATTCGGAAGGAGATCTCGGGGGAATCTTTCGGGAAGGGCCGAAGAAACAGGAAGTAATACGCTGAAATATTATATTGGGGGGGAGGTTGCCGAAGCCATAACACATCTGGATTTTATCTTGTATGTAAAATATTATTCGCGCGTTTTCCATTATCGCGCACGCATTTCATGCGTATCTTCCGGCTTTTGCATAATAAAGGGAAAAATATATAATTATTTAATCGGTGTATTCCGCACTTTGAAATATGCATGTTTTTCCAGATGAATCTTTTATAGCTGTTGTTTTTTTCTTTTTTTTTTCATTACGTACTTGCGCTTGTTTCACTGGAAATGCACGTCAATGTATGTTATTTTTTTTTCGTTTGAATCATACATTTTTCGCGTTGCAATAGGATGCAATCGTACCATCAGAAATTCGATCGGCTGGATTCGCTGGACAGGACGAATGGGTCGATGCATCGTGCGAATCAGAGCACCGCTCAGGGATCCGCAGGTTACTTTGCAATTATTTTTCATGAAATTATGATCGCTTAAATAAATACAATAGGTAACGTAATTAGAAAGACGTAAGGTAGACGATCGGCACGAGCGATGAACTTAATTAATAATCAAACAAATTCGGACTTTCGCCGAATGTTTGTTGTAGGTGATCGAGGTGAAGGTCAGGAAGCTGCAGGTAGGCTTCCTGAAGGAGGCCCGTTGCGAAGGAGCGTATTTTCAATTTTCAGACAGCGCCGAGGATCCCGACGGGGAAACAACAGGTCGATATTGCGGCCACGTGAGCGGAAACGCTACGAGGTATATTCCGTCCCTTCCCCTCCCTCCCGTGGATCCCGCGGTGGATCCCGCTCACCACCCGGGGGTTGTTAGCTAAGGTCCCGTTCGTTTGCGATCCCGCAGGCTATTTCTACGACGCGGCCCCGACCTGACGATCACCCTGTCGTCGGAGGAGCAATTCGCCTCGGCGAATCCGGTCATCTTCTCCGCGCAATTCTCCATCCTGCCGATCCGTCTGGCGGTCGAGCGTCATCGCGGCTACACCGCCTCCACGTCGCCGACCTGTCCCGTGGAGTGCACCGTCCGAAACGAGCGCAGATCCTGCAGACTGACCTCGCCTGGCTACCCCAGCGTCTACCCACGTGGGATTAGGTGCGCGCGATCGACCACTTTGTGTGTCCATTAAGCTCGAGTTCGCTCCGAAGTTTCGGATGCGGAGAACGGAGTTCGCCAAGATAACAAACCTTTCCTCCGGACCGTCGAACTCGAGCCGCAAATTCTGCTTTTCTTACACGTAAAATCGCTAATTATACGACGAGTCGAGAGTATTGAAACGCCTCGAAATTTATCGAGCGCAAATCCGGACTAAAACAAATCTCGGTCGGGAG